AGCCCAGAAGAGAGAGGCCTCTCTGGAGTGAGGAGGGCAGGATGAGTGTGGTGCTCAGCCCTGTCTGGATCCAGGAAAGAGTGAGATGCGAGAAGGGATGGAGGGAGATAAGTCCACTTCAGTGAACTCAATGGGACACTTCAGTACAGGCACAGCTCTCACCCTGAGCACTGTCTGTCTGCCTGTCATGACAAAGAGAGAAGGACTTTGATAAATTCAAATCTTCAAAAGCAAGATTCTTAATTTGATTACTTAACTAAACTAAATCCCACTGAAAAACTACTGACTTTAGTCAGTCATTAATGTCTGGCTAGTATCAAATACACAATAATGTGGTGCACACTGGCGCAATGTCAGCATCTAACAAAGGTAATGTCACTGAGGCCAGTTCATCTGTATATGTGTGTGTCTGCAGGCTGCATGCACAGTGACATAGACAGATTAGGTGTCTGAGAGGGACAGATAGCCTTACAGCCAACCTCCACTCACTCATTGAGTGAGATAAAGAGGAACATTCACACACAGACACACACATGCACACACTCCTCCACTGGCATCCAACCAATCTTGTTGAGAAATAACTCAACCCTTAACATGGACAAATAGGTGTGGATAAGGCCTGCGTTGGGTCTGCTTAAAATTGCAGATTCATCACAAATTTCAAACAAACAGATTAGAAGAAGACTGTTGTGGTATTCAAATGGACTTACAGGATTTGTCCATGTATACACTACGCTGTGATGTGTGGGACTTGGGAGGGTACGCGAGTACGAGAGTGTGTGAGAGTGCCAAAACAGTGACAGGCCATTCTTCTACAAACAGGTTTTCACCAAGCTCTTATCTCTCTTCTGCTCTGTCCTCGCCCATTCCCTTGTTTCGTCCTCTCCTAAAAGAAATGCTCTTTGATAATCACTTCCATCACAAATATACTTGCTACATGCAGCCTATTTGAGAGAAAGGAAGTGTTATAATAGGTAAGACAGATACAAAGTAAATAGATCACATAACTGGACACAGTTAAGGTGAGTGTGTGTGTGTGTGTGTGTGTGTGTGTTTGTGTGTGTGTAGGACGGGTGGTCCTGTGTTTCCGGATGACCTCAGTGGCCCAGGCTGCCTGTCTATTAGAGCAGGGGCTATTAGACCATCAGAAAGTGGGAGCATCCCCTCTTGCCATGATGATAAGATCAAGGCATTCCGGCAGCCAGAGCAGTCATTACCCTGCTCTCTAGCCCATAATGTCCCTCCATTAAAACATCCTGTTGCCATGGAAATGCAGCTGTGGCCATTTAAGTCATTTCTTGGCCCTGCTGTCTGTCTGGGTCACACACAAACTCACAATGCATCGACATGTCGTCTGATAAACAGTTACACATGCACACTGCTATCGGGGGCACTGTGTCTCTCTCTCTCTCTCACACACACATGCAGAAACACGTAAACTCTGCTGTCTGGGTGTGATTCTGGCTCATGTGGGGTCATGGCCGCCAGCACAGAGAGATGATCCCTGAGTCACTGTCGGCGCAGCAGGACTGGTGACAGATTGTACAGTAAGACAATCTGAACGGCTGAGTCAAACAGGGATAGGCAGACAGATAAGAGGCTGACAGAAACACAAACACCAACAGACACATGAACAGCACTGACACCGATCAGGATAAACAATGTAAATAAAAAGATTCTGGGTCAAACAAACCAGACCGCCTGTTCCTCTAATCCTCATTTGGCCACTTCCAAACTTTTCATCAGTAGACACCTCCTACACTCAGATACACACATGCACACAAACTAACCTCTTCTACACCCCAAGCAGCATAAAGATGCATCAAATCCTCTAGTGTTGCATATTGTGGCCCCATCCTCTTGCTATTTAATGTCACAACATAAAACATATCTATCCTGATTTGACAGTTTTCATGTCTTCTATTTTTCTCAGGTGCTTTTATGATGAGGTTCTGTGTTTGGTCTGACTGATTTGACTACTGACTGTATAAAACAATGACATCAGCACCTGGTGAAAGGATTAAATTTAAATCAAAACAAATCAAATTAAGGGCGCAAACAAGTTGTCTCACACATAAATTGAAAGTGTAGGCTGTGGACCTACTTACATGAATCAAACATATGGCTACCAAGACTGTCTGTTTAAACCATGTGGCAGACAAAAGTTAGTTTGCGTTGCCCCCTAGTGACCAAAATTCAAATGTAAAACAACAGTTTATATTTTAGTTTGATAACAGTTAACGTTAGGCATACAACAACACTACAAAATGAAAAATAATACACCAAATTCGGAATGGTCCAACTATCTGGCACTGTCAAACTGATTTATTTGAAAGTTAAGAGTCTTTTAAGACAAGAAAAATAGTTTCAGCGATTATTTGTTAGGTCACTACGAAAACTCCCCCACGCCTGTTGAAACTTTACTTTGCTGCTTCACCTGCTGTTGCTACGATACACTCAGACTGGGAATGTGTATACTTTCAAATCATTCTTTAACTTAATTTTAAATTCACTTTGTCAGACTAGTTTCACATGCGGCACCAGTTGTCTGTCTATAAAGTAAGTTACTAAGTCGCTAAATAGTAAATTGTTGTGGTCGAGATGAAGGTTAGCTGGGGCTGTTTTAGGGCTAGTTAGCAAACATGCTATCTATTTACAAATATTAATGAAATGTTACACTTAACGTTAAACTGTTGAAAATAAGTAAAATCACAGACTGAACTGGGCAGTTAGCGTTATACTTAATGTACCGGTGCAACCCGTTATTTTATGTTGCTAACACAGTTATTCAAATTAAGCAAAACCTTAATTTTCTTGCCTCATACTAGGTGCCGAGCTCAAATGCCGCTCCATTTAACTTAGTTTAAGTTAAATGTTTAAGTTTAAGTTTAACTCCATTTAAGTTAACCTAGCACAAGCTTTCTTCTTCTGTCACTGCCACATTGCAGATAAATGTAAGTTAGCCCTATATTTATATTTACTATATATATTTACTATATATATATATATATATGTAACCTTAATATATAACATAAACAGCAACTTAACATACAGTGGGTCATGAAATAGAAATGGGTGTAACATTATAGCTAAAGGTAACTTAATGCTTTAACCAATTTAATTCTATTATGATTAGTAACGTTCATTTTGTATTATTTTATGGAACTGTACTGAGGTCAGCAGGGTCAGAGAAACCTATGCAATAACTGGACAAAATGTATTTTTGGGACAAGTGGCTGCTTGCAGTAGGTAATTAGAGCTCAGCCTGCTGCACCAGCGATACGTAAGTTCTGTCTTAAGTTAGGGTGCAAAGTCCACATTAAACAACAAGTTGAAACTAGTTAGTTTGAGCTGTGTCGAAGTTTGGTTGCACCACCGAGACGTAAGGTTCATCTTTGCTACTCTGGCGTAAAGTCCATACTATTTTTTATTTTTGTTACTTTTTAAATTTAATTGAAAATCAGTTTACAAACATTCAGACATTCCAGCTTATAAACACATAATAGTACAATATATATAAATTAATAATAAACAAGACAAACTAAGAGAGATGTGTAAGTAAGTAGGTGACAGACTTAACATGTGGTGACATAAGATATGTTTTAGGTGAATAGTTCTGAGTAGATATTACTTATTGAAATACTTTAAAACATGGGGTAGACTTAGAGCACTTAGCTTTATGAATATGAAACTTCCCCAACAAAATAAAGAGATTTACAATGGTACATAAGTTCTTATCTTTAGATTCAAAGTAGGTAATGACATTTTTCCTTTCAACTGTGATTGCATGTGTTGTTTTAGAATATATGTAATTCTCAGTTTATTACGGTCTGAGTCTCTCTCTCTCTTTCAACGTTTTGCAATACTAAAGAGGCTAACGGCTAAAAATAGCAACAAAACATCAACAAAAAGGTACGTAAACAAGGACAAAGAATTATGATTAGGTGATATGAAACCTTAATCTAAAGATAGTCCAACAGTGACATCGGGTGGTAAGACCGTTTACTACAACATAGGTGTAATTTAACACTACCCGTTACGTTACCCGTAACGAATAGTACCGTATAACGGGCATATGAAATTGTAACGTTATAACTTTTAAACGCGAAGGAGTCATTATACATGGAGGACATGTCCCCCTCATATTTCAAAATCTATGTTTTGTCCCCCTCACATTTCTCCGGCGGAGTTGGCTAGCCGAGGAGGTTTGCTATGGTAGTCAATAAATCACAAACTCCGCATCAGACATAATTAAACGGTAGAAACGCGGACAGAAATCAACGCAAAGGTGGTGCTGAAAAGTTAGGGGAGAAACAATAAAGTTCGCTCGGGGCAGGTGCAACAAAGTGCCTCAATATTACAGACTTTTCTTTTGTGCTGCTGTTACTTACAGCCTACCTAAAGTAGTGAGGACGCCTGCAGCAGTGTGCAGGCCTAACTTGTTACAAGTAACGCAAATTTGTTAAATAAATAAATAAAATAAAATAAGTCATTGCCTTTTCATGTTCCTTTATTATTTATATTTTTACGTTTTACTTCAGTATTTTCTTTGAGACATTAATCTACTTTTAATTTCGCTACATTTTCCATTCATAGTATTTTGCTTCATTAACCGCTCTGTCATCCAGGGCTGTGCGCGCGCTGTTACACAGAAGAGCACGGTATAATTTTCTCCTCCTCATCCCAGTTACCCCACTTTTCAAAACGATGTGCCATGAAAACCGCTCGACTATTTTATAGAGGACTTTACACCTTTTAAGGGCTAGGTGTAAGATTTAAGTTGTAACTTGTGTCTACGTTGGTATATCAGCTGGTGAAACCTTTAAAACGTTAGTAGCACGTAAACTCCGACTTAAGTTAGAAATTACGTTCAAACTAGGCTAGTTTGAATTTACACGTAGCCTAGTTGGTGCAACCCAGTGCAGGCCATGTATTTTGGGGTTCTCCAGGTTTGAAGGGATTTTGTTATAATCATAACTTATAGTACACATACTGTAGACAGTGGGTTTATGATCCTTTCTGGTCCTTTTTTCCCCAGGTCCATCTGGGCCAAATGAGCTTAGTCCACCAGCAGCAACATCAGCTGCCATCTGTATGGTCTGTTCAGAAAACAGGACCAGGAAACTATGGTTGCCTGAATGGGCCACAAAATACATGGGATGCCGAAGCACAGATTGCTCAGCAGGCCCACCAAAAGATTCCAGCCCATCTGAAAAGGGCAAAATTATTTCAGCGATACAGGTAAGAAAGCCTTCAATTATAATTCTAAAGCTCAGTAGATTAAAATTTGTAATTACTGATACTTAAAGGTACCATACTATTGGTATTCATGTTTTACAACTAAAGTTATGAATAATTAATAAATGTAAGTTGTTTTTTTAGACATTGTCTAAATGTCTAAAAAAATGACAATCATTTAGACAAGTGGCCTGTTGACCCATTTCTTCCTTCTTTTCTTTATAACTTCTCCCCTATCTGGAAGCACCTTTACTGATTGTTATAATGCAGATATGACTTACTTATTTATGTAAATGTTATTTTGTTCCGATTCATACAGTGTCCACTAAAAACTTAGTACCTGGTCTGTCTGCTCCCAAACTGGGATTTTTACTGTGACATCTACATGAATCTGGCAAAGCCCTCAAACCCAACCTTCCTATGATGGGGTTAAGGGCTTTAAAGACAGGTGCCACCCTGAATCGTTGCTTTAAAAACCTTCATTGTGCATCTGCTTGTCTTCTGTGCTTGCCAACGTTTACACTGACTCTACCTTTGCAGCCTGTATTTCTTTAGCTGATCTTGGTTTATGCAGGAGGGATAGTGGCTATACATCCTAATTTCTGAAGTGTAAGTAAAGCTTTGCAACAGAAGTATGTGTTTGGCAGTCCACTTTATTTGTGATATAATTTAAAACAAGTCTTGTTGTATTTCTTGTCATCCACCATAACAGGGCTCACCTAATCGCCTATCACTGTGTACAAAAACAAGGTGAGACTTTAAGGACTAGTAAGCTGTGCTTTTTAGTGACTAAGTTGAGGAACCTGTGAGATTATAAATTAATAATTTTAATAATATTATCATTTTAAACATTTGTATTAAAATCAGGATATGTGATTCTGGAGAAATCCAGTATCATGACAAATATGATACAGAGTAATAGAGTAATAGTCATACTGCAAGTAGAATAATTGATTTTTAGAAAGAGAGGTAACTTAAACTCTGGTTCAGTTACCATGCTGGCAGGTTGTCTTCAACAAACTCTGAGTTTATCTATGTCTCCTCCATCTTCCAGAGCCAGACACGCTGTTTCATTTCCTCATTGATTCAGTCTGTATCAAAGCACATTTGTTAACAGAGGTTTATGTCCGGTGTATGTCAGAATCAAATTTTTGGTCGGATATTATTTTGTTACTCAGGACTTATTTTGATAACACTGTGCGCACAGTACAGCTGTCTGTCCGTTGAGGAATTCCACCAAAACGTTTATTGCACATAATGTGGAATACTCAGTTTTCTTGTAATATTGGAGTATATTTTTGAGAAGCAGGATTGTGGTGCAGCTACAGAATGTAGTTAGAAAGTGATTTTTTTATAAATAGGCTGTGGACAGACCATGTTTTAACAGGATTTCTTTGACTTTTTTTAAATTTACTACATTTGTTGAAGTATCTGAAGTAAAGCCAATGAATCCTGTTCAGCCAAAAGATGTCTGGAATTTAAAACCTGCTTAAAACCTTTTCAAGTGCAATTCACCAAACCCAATATAATTGGATTACATTGTGAGACAATCATGTCTCTATGTCTATTTATAGCCTATAATCAACTATTTTTTTTAATCTTAAATTGCTGGCCCCTGTGTTTTGTCGCTGTCAGATTAAAGCTGAAAGATATTTAATATGTAATGTAGGCTACAGCCTAATACCAATACACATTATTTCAGTTACAGTATCAGATTCCACCACTTTATCATCCATTAGGAATTCTAAGTCTGGTAAAGGATTAGTAATGAATAACTCTTTGAATAAATGAATAATGAATGAATAAATCTTTATTGTGTTTGGCATATTGACACTTTTCCCTGCTCTGACTCATGTATTAATATCTCTACGCCACTAGATTACAATGGAGGCTCTGCCTTTTTATTTACTTGTTGCCATGGTGAATCATAGCATCAGAGCTCAATTGATGATGGCTTTCTTTCATTCACCACACACAAGCGTAACTCAGAGTTGACTGAATTGACTCAGAGTTCAGGGTTAGGCTCAGAGTTTGTTGAACCTGCTTTCTGAAATAGGACCCAGCTCCAGACAGCAATACTTACAAGTTATTTAACATTAGCTGAAACACAAATCATGACTTGAATAGTGTTGTGTGGGTCGGTCTGAGCCAGAGATGCTGACAAGTCAAGTCTCAAGTCACTCGTGGTTATAATGAATGTTGTATCAGCTGCTGCGTTCAATCCAGGCTGCTTATAAAACTGCATAGCTATAAGGAATTCTGTAACTGTAACCTGTTTTTTAGCACAACCATGTAATGTCCAATGCAATCAATGACAGTTTATTAACTACTGTAAGTCACTACTGTAAACACACCCACCAGACTCTCAAACCAGTGTAGGCCTAATGTTAACTAAATAAAATTGTAACGTTACATGAGTAACAATGAACCTGTAACCTGTTTGCAGCCAACGGTAATAATTGATTATTATTTATGGTAGTGTTAATTTTGCTGTACAGTATTACTTGTGAAATTATCCAATACAATACTGTTTTAGTGATTTATTACACATTTGAGAATCTGTTGGTTTAAATCTCTGATGGCCTTTTTGAGACAGAAGTTACAGAAAATACCATGAAAGGTTGAATGTGAAAGACTTCCCAAATGACAATGGCAGATTGCAACATGTACTAGTCACTAGTATTATTAGTCATCTAAATTATTACTGTCCTGTATTACTGTCTTTGTTTTTCTTCTCCAGTGTTAAATTGATGTGGCTTATGACTGTGATGCCTTTGCAGTATTATGCGATGCCCAGCAATATAAAAGACCTCAGGAAGTCAGAGAAGTATGTATTTTCACAAATTTAATGTATTGTATTAAGGTAAACCAGTTACCCCGCATCATGGCATATTGAAAATGTTGAGCTTGATTACTAACCAAACCCATGTCAGGTCAATGAATTACATTAAAATGTGTTTATTTATATTTCAAGTAAAGGAAAATGAGTATTGTTGAATTATAACTCACCTTTGTAATAGTCTAACTCCACCCTGAGCAAAGAGATATTACGATTACACAAGCAGTGGGTGAAAATACTATGTCTCAAGCTAAATGGGCAGTCTGTCTTAACTGACACAATGGCACACTACTGTGATAGCAAATAAAGAAATTCAAACCAGTTTTCTAAATGATTCACCGAAGCAGTATTCCTCTAGTGATTACCTACATGAACATTTTTATTCTACACAACTGTTTGCATTGTGACATATAACATTTTTGCACTGAAAATGGTCAGTATGTTAAGGGAAATAGTAATGGTAATTGTAGTGAATATGCAAGGTTATAAACTGTATGGAGAAAGAAATTAAAGACCCCTAGGCTCCAGGCCTAATCATGGTATAGACATACAATAAAAAAAAAAGCATTTTCCACATCTTTATACTGTATATAAAAAATTCTTACATTGACCATTTGAATTTAAGTTTAAATGAATAGTCTGTGATTTCTATGAGATAGTGGTTGCTCCTCCATTTGGTTTGTTCAGCTGCTTACTGTTTACTGACTTTAACACACCTATCAATTAGACAATTTTAGTTTTGTGACCAGATACCATTATTATACCAAAAGAACACTGACTAACAATGACTATCATTTTAATTTGATTAATAAGGCTTGTATTACTAGTTTTAGTTTTATCTCTTTAGGAACCTGCAGACAAGCCCTCTGAAATGGAAGAACTACTCCTGGAGGTTCCACTTGCTGCTTCATTTCAAGGCGCTCCAGCTGAAGACAGAGAGTGAGAAATACATCCAGAATGCTGTGCCCTCGTTCTGAAACAATAGCAACACAAACCATCTCATTCTGCAGGTTATGAGCCTCACACACAATAAGACATAAAGACTGACAACTGCTGTTGCTTTGGCCAGAACTTTCACCTCAACAATTCAGAATGAAACAGTTCAGATTGTTTAAGGGGGTTTTCACAACTGAGAGTCCGCACCGTACCAAAGTTCATGTCTTTTGATTCATTTTGTTACATTCGGTTAGTTTTGCTTTGGTTTCACACTGCAGCTATGCGAGCGCACTAAAGGGACAGACTTGAGTCCTGTTGTCATCATATATTTGGGCTGTGTCTCCCAATACTTGACATTGATTGGTTTGTAAAGAGTTCCCCTGGTAGCTTTAACAAGAATAAATGAATGAGGGATGAACAGATAGATGCATATCGTTGCCACTATATTGTTATTATTATGGCATTACTTCCTGCAGCACCAACTGTACTCGAGGCTAGTTCAAATTTGACAAATAACTGTCCTCGTTGTGTGAACATGATATCTTCGTCGGCAGGAAAGGAGTAGAAGACTTCAAGCAATCCTTCTGCACCTCCATTTGAAGACAGACCAAAGAGGTTGTCCCATAGTGTCATTTGTTTCAAAAGATGAGCTGCCACAGGAGATTTATAATTGTGTCCATTTTTCAGTGCATTTCTCCTTGCTTTTGTTTATTTCCAGTTTACAAGGGAACCGCCAAAAATTCTATAAATATTCTGAAAGTGTGGACCATCCAGAAAATGCTTTCACTCTAGAAATGAACCGAACTATTCAATTTGATCCCGAGACCTCTTTTCGTCGGATCAAATTTCGACTCTTTGGTCCGCACCGTGGTCCGGGGGAGGTTTCACACCTGTAATTTTGGTTCGGATCAAAATGAAAAGTCCGGAAGTCCAGACCTAACAAGGTAGGTGTGAAAGCCTTCTCGGTCTCAGGGGTTGACTGTCTGACCCACTAATAGAATCCAATAATTAAGCAACAACAAATAGTAGAAAAGAGGCTGCTTTCCTGTGACAAAAGGCTTGACTGAAACAATATCTGGGCTGTTGACTCTGGGAAATGTAGGGAAGAGGAAGGTATGGATACCAACAACACCCGTGATCACTACGTCTCTTCAAAGGCATCATTGGAAAGGGGGGAGAAATAGCCCTATAATTTCTAGTAATGTATAGAAAGGGCACTAAAATGCTTCTTGGTTTCAGTGTTGTTTTGTGTTAGCTATGTTTTTTTTTTACATTGTGCTAACAGGTTGAATTTGTTAAGTTCAGTCCATAATATAATAATAATTTGAATGCAGGTTCCTGAGTAACTTCAAGGAAGGCATGAGATTCAGTGTTGCTGCTGCTCTATGCTGTCCCCGTTCCTTTTGTCACATCAGACCGTAAAGTTCAGTTTTCCCTGTGCATGTAAATATACCTACATGTTAACACTGACATCATAACTGTGACTCAGCTCTGATTTCACCACTGTGCACCTCTGTCTCTTTGTCATTAGGCTGGTATAGCTTGAGAGCAACCCTGAGCAGTATATGGCCATTCAACACATTGTAGCTGCTACAGCAAAACCTGCTCCTTATCCGGTATTTGGTCCACTTGGCACAGGTACTATACATGAATGTGTGTGTGAATGTCCCCTAAAGCTTAAGTATTTATTTCATTTACATTTAGAACAATGTGTTTTTACACGTATTGGTCAGGCAAAACAGTGACTTTGGTGGAAGCCATCAAGCAGATAAGGAAAACGAAGGTTTCATGCAACATCCTGGCTTTACTCTATATATGCTTTACTCTATCTATGCTTTACTCTATATATGCTTCTTCTCAGAAGAAATATAAGGAACCATGCCATAAACTTTCATTGCTATGCTGATGAGACTCAGCTATATCTAGCAATCAGGCCGGATGATTCAAATCAGTTAGCCAAACTTCAAGTGTGCATATGCAAGATGTCAAAGCCTGGATGACCTGTAATTTCCTCATGCTAAACTCACACAAAACTGAAGTTATTTTACTTGGGCCCAAACACCTTCGAGATATATTGTACAACGACATTGTTATTATGGAATGCATCGCCCTGGCCCCCAGTACCACCGTGAGGAACCTGGGAGTTATTTTCGATCAGGAAATGTCCTTCAATCTGCATGTTGTGCAAATTTCAAGAACTGCCTACTTTCATTAACGTTACATTGCTAAAATCAGGAACATCGTGTCTCAAAACGCTGCAGAAAAACTGGTCCACGCTTTCATTACTTCCAGGCTTGACTATTGTAATTCTTTACTAGCGGGCACCACAATGAAGTCTCTAAAGCCACTCCAGCTGATCCAGAATGCAGTTGCGCATGTTCTGTCTAGAGTCAAGATTAGAGAGCATATTTCTCCAGTTCTAGCCTCCCTTCACTGGCTCCCTGTGAAATACAGAATAGATTTTAAAATTGTTCTACTTACCTACAAAGCCTTAAATGGCCAGGCACCATTGTACCACAAAGAACTCCTGATACCTTACTGCCCCAATAGAGCACTGTGCTCTCAAAATGCAGGGCTGCTTGTGGTGCCTAATTTAACTAAGGTTAGAGTGGGACAAAGAGCATTTAGTTATCAAGCACCTCTACTATGGAACCAGGTTCCAATTTGGGTGTGGGAGTCGGATAACATCACCACCTTTAAGGCTAGACTTAAGACTTTTCTGTTTAATAAAGCTTTTAATTAGGACAGGGTTGAGCAAACTTTAAATTATTATTAAATTGTATTGTTTCAAATCATTTTATTTAGTTGATTCGATTCTGGTTATATTTTATTACGTGTTTTATTACATGCATTCTGTGTTTTATGGTTAATTTTATTTAATTTCAATGCATTTTGTAAAGTATTATATATAGCACCAGCACCATTGCTCTAAAAGTTGCTCCATGTATCATCAGCTTTAAAGTGCTATGTTTTCTATTAGATTGCCTGTTTGAGTATCTCATATCATATATCACAAAGGAGTAATGTTAAACTGGGCTGTAGAGATCATCAAGACTTTCATTTTGTTAAGACTAAAGGGAACTAGTTTGTTTCAAAAAAATAAGGTGTAGCAGATCAACTACTTTAATATTAAATAATTACACTCATTCAGTGGGGCACACCCTGGAAACAGGGAAAACAAAAACACCAAATGAATTAATAACACAATCATTAAATGATTTTAAAGTCTCTTAACAAGGATTTTGTTATTTTTGATGGACTAACAGTTGTCTTCTGCTTCATAGAAAACACACAGACAACTTCTTACTGATTAAATGAGGACATTTATTTATAGGAGGTGTAGGCCTATCTGCCTGTGACTTAGGCTTCGTCCTATAGAAGCCCAGCTGCAGGTTATACTCCCAGGTGACTCTGGGAAAGCAGTTTGTGGGTCACCCAGTGGATGAGGTTTCAAGCTGGCCTGGCAGTCTTGTTTCACAGCCAACAGCAGAACTCAAGGGGTTTGAGGGCCAGCCTGAAAGCACAGTAACGATAACAATGCTCTTATCAGCTAGCAAAACAGGTGGAGTTTTTGGTGTGTAGGAAGGTTTTCGTGCTGAAACTTTTGTTCCTTTGTTGTATTCAATTCAATTTTATTTATAAATTTAGAAACCTCGAGCAGAACTATGGCTAATAAGATAATAATAACAATAGGACTAGCAAAGGGTGTCCAGCAGGAACATGGGGATAGCAGGTGACTCGCAACCGCAGATCCAACTCCAGCTGCTCCACAGCTTCTAAGGGACTCGTGGAACTACTAAAATGGCTCTTCTTTTTTCTGACTGATTGAAGTTGTTGTAAGCACAAGAATCACGTGCTCAAACATAACTATGGCCATGCAATCATGATCGAGATGGCATAGTGGGGGTATAAAACATGTGGAGAAAAAAATTATTCAGTCAACAAATTTTTCAGCAGATCACTTGTCACTACTAAAAGTGACATAAGGTTAAATAACACAGTTTGGTTAGATGTCGCATAGCAACAATTTTACCCACATTCTTCACAACAATTAGCTATTAGCTATTCTGTCCGGTTGTCACTAGATGGCAATGTTGTTACATGGTAAACAAGAGCTTAACTCCCTCAGGGTATGGACATCAACAATCATTAATCATCACAAAAACATATGCTGAGTCAGATTATTTAAATAATGACCTTAATGTATGCTTAATTTAATCTTAATTCAAATTTAGGCTGGAAAAAAAGAATATCACAGTGCTATTTCTCAGGAATGTACATAGTTTATGACAGGAATCTGGCAGGCTTATCTCAGGTTGACAGGGGGTGAAGAGAAAGAGAAAAAGAGTGTGTGTGTGTTCAGTCTCTTCCGTTGACTTGATCCCTTGCTAAAATAATCAAAAGAGACATTTTATTGTCTTCACATCAGATTGAGACATCGTTAAGACGTATATTTTCTCAGAGGTGAATAGTTCTTGTCTGGCAAGTATCCAAATTGGCACCTTTAGTGTTTGAGAGGAGAGAAAGCCAGCCCACTCATAGAATTCCACAGGTTCATAAACATTGCTGCGGAGAGTTTGTGAATGTTTGGGAGACGTTCATCCATTGTTATCACTACAACAGACACTACACTACATTTTAAGCCAACCCGCAGGCTGTTATTAGACCTCTGAAACACAGCCCACATCTTTTTAGAAATTCAAATTAATAATGCAATTCAAAATGATTATCAGGTTTCTGGAAACAATTTCAAAGGTAAGAGCTATGTTTTTATGGTAACAATCCGTGATACCTGCAGACAACTGACAGCGGAAGACCTTGACTGACTTTATGATTTGCTAGGAAATGTCACAAGAACCTGCTGTAGGAACCCAACAACAGTCAAAGTTTCATTTTCAGTTACCATT